AAGTTTTTGCTAGATTTTGAAGTTTAAAATGAATTTTGTTTATTTTTATTGAGGTTCTTGTACCAAGGCTGAGCTATTTTCCACTGGTTGTTGACAAGATGTGTAGACATTTCCAAATTGCTGCAAATCAGAATGATTCTGATGAAATGTGGATGGAATACCAAGGACAACCTCTTAAATGGTATGTCTTCCATTTTAAGACCCTTCTAATTAGCATCATTTTTACATGTGATTGATAAAAGTACCAGGTAAGGGAGCTCTCTTCAAAATATAGATTATTTCTAACTTATCCAATAGTATTTGAAACATTACTACAGTTTTCATTGCCTTTCATGTTTGCATGCGAGTTTCTTTCTTGCCACTCTTTCTCGACTTCTTCTTTTGTTTTTCGGTTTTGTCAAAGTATTTCAATATTTTGAGGAGTGAAGTTATTGTGGAAACAGTCCTGCTAAGAAAATATTGTAAATGACAAAGATGTCAAGATTTAGCAGGATTTAAGTAGCACTCCGTTTTTGTATAAATTTGTTTCCTAAGCGTACCCCATTTTCCTTGATACTGCAGAAAGATGATTTATTGCATATAGCATATCATTGGTGACATTCTTGTATACTTGTTTGCTCTATTTGTTACCAAATTAGTGATGTGTCTCTTAAAAATGTGGGGACAGTTTATTTCCAAAGTAAGCTATTGGTACTGCAAGATTTGAAGATAACACAATATAGCTGAAACATATCATGCAAAGTACTTTTGGCCTGACACTCCCCAGATGAAAACTTTGGATAATGTCACAAAGATAGGCAGAAACATGTATCCAGATGTGGACCAGAAGTGAGAGGAAGAAACACATTTTTTTAGTTTAATTGGTTGGCCTGTATTATGGTTAAGAAGCAATGAATTTTGTGTCGCCTTCTTGATCTTAGGTTTTTAATAGGTATGTACTGGTATTTGCTTGCTGCTTGCATTTTACAAAATATACTACTCTCTGCTTCTTTAGAAAAAAAACATTTAGGGTTTATAACCTTTTTGCACTGTTGGCTGGGGTTATCTGCAGGGCTTTATGTTTGGGTGCATACATTGTTTATCTCTACGGTTGAATGTAGGGAGGCCATGAATTGCTAATCTGAGCATTGGTTGTAAGGGATCAATTACTTGCTCTATTGCTCAGGGTTTTCTAGGCCCTTCATACTGACTCATAAACTCTATGTAATTCTAATAAATGATGGCGTTTATTGAATTTGTAACCAAATATTAAGCAAATCATTTTTATCAATTAATGTCTAGATTATTAAGCTACTCTTGTTAAAGTGATATTCATAATATTCTTGTATTTTCTGTAAATTTGTCATATAAAACCACAAAACGGTTATTAGTTGAGGCATTAATTGGAAGGATGTGTTCATTTAAAAAAGGCAATAATATGAAGCAAGTGTTTTATTAGTGGAAATATGGTTTGCTATCTTTGACTCTTAAATCATGATAATCACAGGATATTTCATCAGTTAGTCAGGTCAGGTCTGGTGAGGTTTTCTTTAATGAGAAAAGTTGTTTCTCATCAAGTGAAGTCAGGTCAGGTCAGGGTCAGGTCAGAACAAGACAGGTCGGAACAAGTTTGATCAGGTCAAATTATGTCAGGTCAGATCAGGCCAGGCCAGATCAGGTCAGGCCAGATCAGGTCAGGTCAGGTAAGGTCAAGTTAGGTCAGGTCAGGTCAGGTCAGGTCAGGTCAGGTCAGGTCAGGTCAGGTCAGGTCAGGTCAGGTCAGGTATGTTTGTTTTGTAAGCACAGTTAGGAAAGTTCTTTCATACTTTCTATTTTTTGTTACAGGCATTATCCAATTGGCGTCTTGTTTGATTTATATGCTTCAAGTGATACATTGCCTTGGAATATTACTGTTCATTTTAAGGTATGCTGAAGCTCTTACCCTATTCTATTAGTTAGGCGCTCCAGCAAAGCTAGGGAATATGAATAGATAAAATATCAAGAAATTGGCTGCTAGTGTCAAATTTAATTTCTTCATATTTTATAGGTCTTGCACTCTTTAAAATTAAGGGCTATAGCCTTTGTCATAGAGATAGACCAAAACTATAAGAAAGTTTTTTAAGATTTGGTTTTAAAGGGTTCCTAGAAAAGTTTCTTTTTAAAAACATTGCAAGTCTAATGAGTACAACTAGCTTTTGGTAAAATTGTATAGCGCCAACTAGGGTAGAATGAAAGCCCAATTTGAAGGGTATTAAAACCATATCTAGGGTTTTAGACCTGCATTGTGAATTTGTTTACTTTTTCTATATTTTCATCTGTTTTCATCGTCATTTCTGAAAAGAAACTCGTTTGTAAACAGAAGAATAAAAACATAAGGACAAAGAGAAAAAATTCCTAAATTAATATATTGAGCTCAATTTGGATCTATAGAACATTATTCTTTTATACTGGAAGAACGTTGGCATCTGTATAAGCCAAACATAAGACCAAGGATCATTGTCAATAGGTTAATTTTTTATTTCAAAAATGCAGCTAAAATATCCTTTAAGAAATGTCTAATTTTAATGGGATTCACCAAGCAATATGAACTGAAGAAATATGAAAATCTTGAAGAGTATTCTAAGTAGAGGATATCAGACAGAAATGAATAAGCCAATAGCTTTGAGGATAAATCAACTTATGTTCATGAAAATACAATCCTTTTCTTTTTATAAAAATATTGCAGAGGTTTCCTGAAACAGAACTTATCAGATGTCAAACTAAAGAAGTTGTCGAATCTCATTTCATGTCTTGTTTGAAAGAGGTAACCGCCATTATTACATTTTTTCTAAGTTTATTTTACGGAATTAGTTCAATTTGTCCAATAAGCATGAAATGAAATCCATGTTTTGAATATTGGTTTATTTTGAAATTGATTAAAGTAGTTGCTGCTGAATGCTATTATATCCTTTCTTTTATTGTGCAAGTTAGATGCTTTTGCATGTTAGTTTATATTTGCAGGCAGATAACCTGAAGCATAGATCACAAATAATGAATGCAATGCAGAAAAGAGATCACAAACAGCTCTGGTCAGGATTGAGTAGTGGTAAGTAAAAGGGTTGAGTAGTGGTAAGTAAAAGGGTTGAGTAGTGGTAAGTAAAAGGGTTGAGTAGTGGTAAGTAAAAGGGTTGAGTAGTGGTAAGTAAAAGGGTTGAGTAGTGGTAAGTAAAAGGGTTGAGTAGTGGTAAGTAAAAGGGTTGAGTAGTGGTAAGTAAAAGGGTTGAGTAGTGGTAAGTAAAAGGGTTGAGTAGTGGTAAGTAAAAGGGTTGAGTAGTGGTAAGTAAAAGGGTTGAGTAGTGGTAAGTA